CTAGTTTCTTAATAAACAGTTCATAGTCCAAGGAAATTCAATGTATAGGCCACACGGTTAGTTCCTGAGTTTTGAGAAGTATCGTCTATCGAAAGGATTTGTTAAGCTTGTTGTAGTTCTTTGAAGTAAGCATGTTCGGGGATTATAGCTGACGTTGAGTTTTGCCTCCACTGAAGTTCCTGTTTTGTATGATTGGTCCTAGCGAGCAGTAGCTTCTGACAACAACTCTACTACTCAACTAATTCTACTAGCTTACACAGCGAATTAAATAACGAAATTGTGGACGTGTTTGGGTTAGCTGACCATGAGACCCTTCCATTGCATATCCTGTCGCTGAACTTGTGAACGATAGAATAGTCTACACTGTCGCAATTAACAAGTACTAAAGAGCCAATTGAACAGTGATTGAATGCTAGCGGTAAAACTGCTCGCTAGGACCAATCATACAAAACATGCCTACTTCAAAGAACTACAACAAGCTTAACAAATCCTTTCGATAGACGATACTTCTCAAAACTCAGGAACTAACCGTGTGGCCTATACATTGAATTTCCTTGGACTATGAACCGTTTATTAAGAACTAGCGCGTGCTACAAAATAATCATTCGGATAGAAAAACCTTAAAAATACCAAAACTCCAAAACAGAACTAACAGCAACTACTTCATAACATTCCTCCCCGCCTAAACTGAGCATCTTCCTCGATGCGGACAGGAGAAACGGATACACTACTTTAGGACTATACGACAATTAAGTACTCATAGAAAAAAAAGAAATGTCTCAAAAAGGAAGAGAAAAGAGTTTACGACATCTCTTCAGCTGTCACTTTGCCACTGTGCGTATTTGTGACGATGTACTCATATGCGCTCTCGGGAAACGTTGCCCCGCAGTGGCAAGGGCGCATGGTCTTTAAAAAGTCAGCGTGCTTCTTAAAGCATTTGATGCATATGAGCTGATTGCAGCGTAAAACTGTCCAATCAAACATGGCGGCACCCTTCATCTCGAAACAAAAAATACAAATCCATTTCGCCATGTGGCGGATACGTTGCCAATCAAGATCCATTGATAGTACCTAATATATAGATTTAGCCACGGCTAAAAGCGAAGCTCTCTTTAATATTTATAGATTCCTCAAAGAAAATATAGAATCGAGTAATACTAAAGACAAGTTGAAAGCAACGAGAACGGTAAAAACAACAACAACAGATCTAATTAGCAAAAAAACAACTTAGCACGTGCAGCACACTTTTTTTTCTAATGAGCAAAAAACCAACTCTGTACGTGCAGCAGTTTTTTTTGTACATTTCCTTACCGTTGTTTTAACGTGAAACTTCTTTTAGCTTCATATTTACGCGTTTTATGGAGGAAATGTTGTGTTCCTGTTCACTCTGCTTTTTCACTGCCTTTTTCACATTAGTAGCCGCTAGCATTTCTCGTTTTCTAACCGCCGCTATATAATTGTCATGTTTTTCTTCCAAACGAAATTAGTCTCCGTTGTTATTTATTTCTCGCTTCTGACAAGTGTGACACTTGACATCGGCTTACATGAGGTGTGTGTACGGGTGGGCGGGCGGGCGTACTCTACGTCATAACCAAATTTTCTCGGATGGATAGTTTACCAAATTTTCTTACCCATGGTGCTCCGCTGGCGCGCCAGAGCTCCGCTATTAGTAATGGTAACAGGACTGAGTGGAGGCAAAACTCAAGGTCAGCTATAATCCCCGAACATGCTTACTTCAAAGAACTACAACAAGCTTAACAAATCCTTTCGATAGACGATACTTCTCAAAACTCAGGAACTAACCGTGTGGCCTATACAAATATAAAAGGGTATGGAATTCGGAAGTTGAAGTATATGAAAGGATAGGGAAATCTGTCATTTCAGTTTGTAAAAAGCTCCAAAAGGGCTAACAGGCAGTCGCGCATTTTATGGCTGTAAAACAAGTCGAGAAAACATTCTAGATTTGTAATTTACAGTCCAACCTCCACTAACGGCCACCTCTTCACAACTTCCACCTGTCTACAACGACCAGGCCATTGAGGACAGGTTCAACTGTATCTATATAGTAAATACTGTTCATTTACGGCAATTAAAAGGGATGCAAAGGTCTAAACTAGGTATGTGAAAGGGGTAGCATTTGTCAATAAAAGGTATACAAAAGGGGTACCTTTTTTGTCAGAAATAGTATATACCCCACCGGGAGAGTATTTAAAGCGTTATGCAACGAAAGGCAAAATCTTGGTACATGTACTGAGTTTATCTCCGCCTCTCCCCTCCCCCGTTTTTTGGGGTCATGCATAGAAATCGGGTAAACTGGGCAGACAACCGAACGATAGCAAGAAATGACAAGATTTTATAGCTGGACAAAAACGGAAGAAAAGAGATGCACAAAAACAAAAATGCTTGAATTACGGAGATCTATACTCATGTGGCGGGAATATCCACCACTTTTCATGCTCTTAACATAGTTTGTACACCGGTTGGCTCAACTTTTTTATTTCTTTAGCCCTGAATCCTGGAAAATTGTGCGTCGAAGCCGCGACAACGATTCGCAACGGCTTTTAAACCGTAGATTAGATTAGATTAGATTAGATTAGATTAGATTAGATTTCCGTGTTTCAAAGTCCATTGACCGAGAAGTGATAAGACATCTCAAGAAATGGAAACCGAAAAAGTTTAGATAATTCGACTTTTTACACACTGATATCCTCCTATACTTGCTTACCTGATTCACTCTCAGAGGATGTAGAATCTTTTCCTAACACTTTTGCGGTCGATCGTGCTACGTCCTGTCGAAAGTTATAGTTACTTGTGTAAAAACTGATGATATAGTCTAAGGCTGCAATGTAAGCTTCATGTTTGTCTACTTCTGAAGTCCAGTCCAACAAATAAAACTCCCCGGCAACATCATCAGTCTTGGACACCTGTTCAGCGGTAGAAAATAATGATTTAATCCATACTGAATGATGAAAAGCCGTAAAATTATTATTTCTCTAACCGTGTGTACAGAGCGTTTTTTTTCCTTGCGTGCGGCGGAGATGCTTCGTGCCGGCCGCAGGTCGACACGTTAATCTTCGAAGCGAGAAAAAAGTTTCAATAATAGTTTAGCTCCTGTCCTTCCACCCCCCTTATCTAACTTAGGGAGAGATCAGTTTTGTAAATAATAAAACTCTTTTATACCACTGCAGACATGAGGCAGAATCGTCAGTTTCTAATTTGTTTTAAATCCAAGTTTTCTTGCGTTTAATTTATTACGAGCTGGTTAGAAACCTTATAATGTTTCCTTTACTTTTGTTATCGTTATTTATTAATTTATTGTTTTAATACTGAAAGTCAATAAAAGTTGTGTTTAGGGCCAATTTTAAAATATCATTTACTATTCACCCCCCCCCCCCCTAAAAAACCCATCACTTTTTCCGAGAAATACTCCGTTAGATTTCTGTCAGTTTTCTGTGAAATTTAGCGCGTCTCTACATAAAAGCACACATGTACGTATATACACACAAGATTGACCAAAATTGGGAAAGCGGAACTGTGCATTAGCCTCATTGGTTATTACGGTTTTCAAGTGAGAAAAAACATATCTGTGACGTCACTCACGCATGCGCACAATTGGTGAATGTCAACAATAGTGCATGCAAGTCCGGTTTTCACTAAAAAACGTCACCCCGACAGCGAGGAGAGGGGCATGAAAAAACAATTAATAACTGCAATTTTAGCTTGCATCCAGCTTGTGAAAGAGAGCGAGTGCGCGTCAGTTTTATAGAAAAATAAAGAAAGACACAAATGTTGTGGTGGATATTTAACCGTACTTTTTGAAGCTTTCTTAAAGTATCAAGAATTAATCAGTGACAGTATTATAATGTTTTCTGTACATACCCTATCAATAGCTCTTCTGCAGTGCGACTTGAGCTGACTGGAGTTTTTCTTGGCTCGTTTCACAGCATCTTTACTTCCCAGAGCTCTGTACGTATGTTCAGCTGGCTGCTGTGGTACAACAACAATGATTCGTCTTTCTTCCTTCCCCAAGTATTGCACATAGTCCTCAATAACATGAGATTTAAAATATGGATTTCCAGGGCTCATTCCAAACAATACTACACCGTTGCCCGCCATCACATCTTGGCCTGTTTGAAAAACGAGGCTTTCTTCAAGCTGAACAAGGTTAAGCACCATTTTATGAGGGGCTATTTCTTTGGAAGAAAGAAATGAAGTAAGTGGATTTCGAGCTCACAGTCAGCTTAACATGCAGCACAAGGAAAACATTGCAGCTTTTATGCGTCCCTCGCAATTAACAATTAGCCAATCATGGTTTTATTCGCTGGAACGATCGCTGAGTCGAATTCCCCGGAATAAAATGGCTCGTGACATGTTCTAAATTTAGCGTCGAAGTTACGCGGCTCATTTCCCAGAAATACCGGTTGTGAATTTGAAAGTTGAAAGTGCACGAAAGTCATGATTTACAAAGAAAAGGAACGTGTATTCCTTTGATTTCCTTATAAGGTAAAGTGGACTAAAATATGGAAATGCAAAGATATCTGCCTTTTTGGCTTCAAAATTTGATATCATGGGGGGAGGAGTATTCTCTAAAATGGCCTCTACGGAGGAGCTCCACCCGAAAGGGGTAACTTTTATCAGGCTTTAGGTGTTTAAAAGGGTAGGGATTTAACAAGTGTAAAGTATATGAAAAGGTAGGGACTGATGTGTGATTTAGGTATTTAGAAAGGTCTTTACTTCAAATATTTCGGGCAGACGCAGCCACCCCACATAAAACTTTGTCGAATCCCCAGAGCTTAACATTTAGTTTAGTTAGGCATTTCCGCTCATTTCTGTGAAGACTGAATTACGTTTCAGTGCGATTTAGAATATCCTAGTACTTCATAAGCTCGTTTCCACATGGACCGTACATTATTGTTCTTTATACAATGTTCTGCTCTGAACCTTGCTGTCATCGTTTAAAACTTGCTTTTTCTCCGAACCCACTCCTGCATACACTCATATCAGTTAGCAGGGAAAATCGAAAAAGGTGGAGAAATTAACGAAGGATTAAATTTAGCTTTGTTGACGTAAGTGTACGGCGGGAGTCCACGTGAAGGAATAAAATCTCTAAAGAGCGTCACTAACAAAATTCGATTTTAAAGTAAGAGTCATGAGACTCGCACACGTCAATTTAAATGGATCGGTAATTTCCCTTTGGACCGAAATAGTCGTTGCAGACGGTTACATGCCGCTATTACATGCCAAGATATATTAATTACGCATTTGTTTCAGTCTGCATGTGACCTCTAGGAAGTCCCAGATCGGAACTGAAAAAGTGATAAACTTGTGTGACATTTCGTAAGAATTCAGTGGCTGTCAGTTTGCGAAGAGTTCGTTTCATCGCTTTACAATCGTGTTGAAATTTCAAGATGATGCTCGGCCTTTCTATCACTGCCCTTACTGTCGTAGTGATTTTGATATCGTGGATTTACAAAAGATTTATGGAGGTAAGATTTTTTTCTCACAAAAACGGTTTTTCAGAGCGCGAGGCCGACGGCGTGCGATTCTCGCGCGAAGCGCGCGAGCCGTCTTACACTCCGTTTTCACCCTCGGTTGATTGCTAATGCACCCTCAAGCGGGCCTAGCGCATGTACAGGTTTTTTTTGTGTGTGTAAGTTTTAAAATTTTATGTATGAATCATGTTTACCAATATCTCATATGTCCTTCTATTAACTTTATGATGATCGCAAACATTCTCTAAACCTCTGGCGTTCAGTTTGCTTTTCCTCCAGTAATCCGTTGAGTAAAATGCACGTTAAAAAAAGGGGGAAAAAAAAAACGAAGCCAGGACTTAGAAAAAGAAGTATTGGGTAGAGCATGTAGTTTTGTCTTTTCCTGCGAAATTTCAAGACATGGCCGTCACGCAACAATAACGTGTTAACAGTCACTGAAGCTTTCTTCGCCGTAAATTGTATAGCCTGCAAGATTGCTCAGGCTATAAACTGAGTGAACAACTTAAGGTTTGGAATGTAGAGACAAAGGAGGGAAATTCCTTGAAATCAGTCTGTGGCTGTTTCATAGACAGGTTTTCTTGGACAGGAGCGAAGGAACAGGTTTCGTCAACTTCCTGTTTCGGTCTGTTTCGTTTTCATTACTTCGGACTCTCATCCAGTTTCATTTTTGCAAAAGAGAAAACAAAACAAAAAAATAATGGTCACTGATCTTAACATCTCGCGTGATCGCTTATGTTATAGAATTACTTCTGGCAAAATGATTCTGGGGAAATTATCGCAGGAACTGGCTTCAGGACCTTTTCACCAACACTCATAGCATTCAAAGATGAAGGCTTGAAGAAATTGGGAATGTACTTGCTCCGATTTTTACCCGGGCCTCCAAAACTGTAAGTATTGTTACTAATATTTTCAACTTAGATATTTTTGTTTTGATTTTTAACATTTCATCAAACTGCCTAAAACTTAATTCTCTTTATACATTTAAAATATTTTCGTTTTCGGGATTGTCACGTAGCGTGACGCACTCTTTGTCTTTTCAGCACGATGTAGTTTTCAGGGCTGTAGGGGCAAATTTTGACTGGCCTTCACTAATTTACATGCCGTCTAAATAGTCTCCAATATAGACATATTGTTTTTTGGCGAGCGTTTTGGCTAAAATGTAAGTGTACTTGCTTAACTGCAATGGCAACATCGTTGCGTGATATTGTAAGCGTGACTGGGGTTTCAGTTGCTTAATTGTCACAACTGTTCTGTTTGTTTGTTTGTTTTTGCTTTTGAATGAAAGTATCGACTTCGTTAGATCCAAATATGTGTTAATTTTTTTCTCTTGCCTACAGAATCATTACAGATCCACAAATCGCTGTGAAATTCATGGCAAAACAGCATAAGTATGAGCGTTTAAAGGACTTCAGATTGGGAAGTGTGTTTCGCCAGCTGTTTGGTCACGCAGCCGGGACGGCAAGTGGTGAGGCTCACAAGCGGATACGGAGTGCATTTGACCCGTGTTACAGCACAGAGAGTGTGGCACAGGCAGTGGATATGATGGAACAGGAATGCAAACACCATTTAATTCATATGGTTCAAGATAAACAAGTATTAATTTAATGTTTTCTGGTGCCTCATAAGTGCTAGTAGTGCTTCCCAGGAAAGTGCTATATGATGGGAGTGTGCCAACCTCGTCCCCAGGGCTTTTCCCTTAAAAAATGGGTCTGCCACTGGACGGGGTCGCATTTTCACCACTGGATTGACTATGATTTGCTTGAATTAAGGGTTTTTTGAAGGGGGTCGCAATTTTGGGGGGATTTTGCGGGTAAGGCATTTGAATAGGAAGATTTGCGGTTATATAGTTGCTATCGCGTCAAAGGAAAGTAACTAAGTTTGTATTGCGAAAATTGCATGTGCCTTAGTAGAATTAAGAAGAGGCTCCCAGAGGACAGCGACACATATCCATCAAGAATTGACCCAAGTACCCCCACCCCGAGCATTAGGCATTTTTTTTTTACCTTTTCCAGAGACACAAAGAGATATATTGAGGTCGTGATCGCAGGCTAAGTGCTCTTCAGCTTTTATGTAGTAACCTTGATGTAAAATAGATCTGTCTCGTAAGGGCCCTGATACAGTTACTCATGCAACCCAAACATCCCATCCTAATTTTTCCTTGATTCAAAAATTCTGACGGTTCCCAGTCCCGACCGCGCATTTCAAAAGGTGCCTACGGCCTGATGCTCTTGATTCTCTCCTGGAGATCTGTGGCAGATAGCTGGGTATTTAAAGGAAATTGCAGCGATCATCGACGCCTGATAGGGTGGATAAAAATAATAGCTTTCCGACATTGAAGGAAAGCAACTCACTCTCCTCACCAGATTTCGGTTCTGCGAAAACTAACACTGAAAACCAACATTCTGTGAAAACCAACACTTAAAAGTCACCCAATTTCCTGTGTTTGTTTTCCGAATTTCACGCCTTTTTGCTCTAAAATCCCGAATCCTGACCTTCAAAGGTTACAATTAAAACCATTTGGGGGGTGGGGCATGGGAGGGCACGGTAAAACCAGCAAACGGAGCTTCCGGCTTGTATTATTGTTATGTGAAGCGCTATAGAGTATTTGTACTCATTTCTGGATGGGATACGTTGTGGTAATACCCTTAACATTAGGTAGATAAAGCGGCACCTAACCTTAACTGGCATGCGCAAGAGGCAGAGATCGGAGAGATGACCACATGTCTATCTTTCCCGCCTTCTTTGCTTTCGCCAATTGCAGTTCACAACGTAACAGTGAGCAAGAACTCTTTAATGTCAACGTGTTGCTTTTCGTCGGCAGTATAGGGCATTGTAATTTGTGCATTGTAATTTGAATAAGTGACCGAATGCTTAGTCTCCTACGCAGTCGTTCCTCTTTGCCACCACGCAACGCTTCTACTCTAAAAGAAAAGACTACCACCCCGGTGGGGGCGGGGACACTCTACAAAGTTTTATAGTTTTATGGGGGGGGGGGGGGGG